GTTGCATGTCAACCATCAACTCGCAACCAAGGGGGATGTATGTTTGTAGAGGGGCAATTGCATGTCAACCATCGACTCGCAACTAGGCGGGGCGTATGCTTGTAGGGCCCCAGTTGCAAGTCAACCATTGACACGCAACTAGGGGGCAGTATGTTTGTAGGGGGGCAAGTCACAAGTCAACCATCGACTCGCAACTTGGGGGGTATGTTTGTAGGGGCCCAGTTGCAAGTCAACCATCAACTCGCGACTAGGGGGTGTGTATGTTTTTAGGGGCCCAGTTGCAAGTCAACCATTGACTCGCAACTAGGGGGCGTATGTTTGTAGGAGGGCAGTTGCAAGTCAACCATCGAGTCTCAACTAGGACGCGTCGTACTTTTTTGTAGTGGTCCCAGTTGCATGCCAGCCATCGACTCACAAAAAGGGGGTGTATGTTTATAGGGGGCCAATTGCATGTCAACCATCGACTCACGACTAGGGGGCATATGTTTGCCGGGCCCTAGTTGCAAGTCAACCATTGACTCGCAACTAGTGGGCAATATGTTTGTAGGGGGCCAAGTTGCAAGTCAACCATTGACTCGCAACTAGTGGACAATATGTTTGTAGAGGACCGAGTTGCAAGTCAGCCATCAACTCGTAACTTGGGGGACATATGTTTGTAGGGGGGCTAGTTGCAAGTCAATCATCAGCTCGCAACTTGGGGTCGTATGTTTGTAGGGGCCCAGTTGCAAGTCAACCATCGACTCACAACTAGGACGCATTGTACTTTTTTGTAGTGTCCTCAGTTGCATGTCAACCATCGACTCGCAACTATGGAGGGCGTATGTTTGTTGGGGCCCCAGTTGTAAGTCAAACATCAATTTGCAACTAGGGGAGTGTATGTTTGTAGGGCCCCAGTTGCAAGTCAACCATTGACTCGCAACTAGGACACATCGTACTTTTTGTAGTGGCCCTAGTTGCATGTTAACCATCGATTCACAACTTGGGTGTATGTTTGTTTGTTTGTTCTCTTCATGGTTTTCCTGATTTATTCCTTTTCCCTTTTTTTCTTCACATGATTTCGTTTCCTTTTTACTTTTTTTATTTAAAAACAAATTTGTAATTTTATTTTACTTATTTGTTTTTATGTTTCAAAAGGTATTTGGATTTTGAAAAATTCTTTTGTTTTTTCAAAAGCTATTTTGGTCAAAAATATCAAAATAAGTACATGTCTTTCAAAAAATGCTCGCAAGTTTAGAAAAAATGATTGCGTTTTATAAAAAAGTTCAAATGTTTAAAACAAATTCTCTTTTTAAAAATTGTTCACAAATGCTAATCATCTCTTGAGCTTTACACGTATTGGACTAAAGTACAAGCTCTCACCTTGACCACATTCGTTTCTAAACCCAGGCATCTCACGTACGTTTCTTAGTTTGTCGTGTTTGATGCTAACAAAAGAAACTGACACGCAGGGTACTCATAAGCTTTAAGCGGTGCATTTTTATGAGTTCGCATGCTCAAACACAACGCTCTTGGGTGCGTACAATGGGCCGGCTCAGTGGCGAAGCCCTGCGCTGTATGCGGCAAGCTGGACAATCAAATAAAAAACAAAAAAGAAACAACGAAACAGCTAGAGAAAGTTGTCAATGAAAGGGCAACAAACATGGATGACATTATCTTAGTTGTGACATAATGATGTCACATCTAAATGTGTCCTAGTAGCACCCATCCTATAATATAACAAAACGAAGGATAAAGATATATATCATCATATACCTACAATTTCTCTTGCAAAAAAAAGGGAAATGATTTAAATCACTCGACCGATAACAGCGAACGTATCCGCCGGCTCCGTGCCTGTCGGACCGTATTTTAATTAGATGACTCGGAGCAACGTATTACATAGACTGGTTTTCGCAACCGAGCCGTTGTTGCAACCCCCCCACCGCAACAAGTGTTGTGTTGCAGGATCTCGATCTAGATCCTCTCCTGCTCTACCGAGCTCCCCATCAAGACGACGCCTCCATCGGCTGCTTCGACTGCCACTACTGCTGCTTGCCGCCGGCAGTACGCGGACGAGGCCGCCGACAAGCACGCCGACGCGGTCACCCCTTCCCGTCTCCCTGTGTCCGCTCGTGACCAGTGGCCATGGCCGCTCGAGCGCGCACATCGGAGCTCTACTCCGACTGCCGTTGCCCAGATATGCCGCTCTGGCCTCATGCTGCATCGCCTCTACCATCATCATGATCATCATCATCATCGCATACACAACACCCCTCCTCTCTTCCCCAACAAGACCGAGCTTCTGCTCGAGGCCACGGCCGCGAGCAATGCAACGGGATGACTTTCTACAACAAGACATTGATTGCAAAAAAAATTGCAACAAGAGATTTGTTTTAAAGAAAATCTAAAAAATATTCTGCAACGAGACCTTTGTTGCGAAAAGACTTATTTTGCAAAAATGACAACGACACTTGAGGAGACTGTGTCAGATCGGACGGCTCGTAGACCGGCGGATCTTCTAAAAGGATCCATGGGCCGACGCATAGCACGGCCCAAAAATAAATAAATCATATACCTACAATTTGAAGAAAATAAAAAGTGAATCCTGAGGCGAATCCTATGACTAAGATCAACTCGGGAAGACTTTTTTTTGTGCTATATATGTAAGCAATAGAAATTCACTTATAGCACCCCTTTTTAATTTACCCTTTGCGCATTACTGGGAATAACTTCGGTTTTGTCCTTTGCCGAAATAAATCCATTGCACATGTGGCTAGCTATCCAAGCCAAACATTATGTCCTCTACTACAGTATATGCTGATTCGTGCAACTTTTCCATAAGGTAGACCCCACGCATCCAATGATCCAGCAAAAAAGGAGCCTGTAGGAAACAGGACACGTCCGTGGCTGCGCTGAGGATAGCAATCAGTTAGGCTGATCACAATAGGCAAGAACATAAGCTAGTAATTTACACACTTTTCTAGACTATGTTACTACCTCCATAGTGGGTAGGAACATCTATGTAGTGTCATGCAACGATGTACTCCCTCTGTAAACAAATATAAGAGTGTTTAGATCACTACTTTAGTAATCTAAACGCTCTTATATTTCTTTACGGAGGGAGTATTTATTAGATTATAGACTCATTGTTTTTTGGAGTGTGTGATGTTCCGGTAACTTAGCTAGTTACCACAAGCACCCCTCTCTTCATTAAATATGTGTCACATAAGTAAAGTTGTATTAAAGTGTGTGATGTTACTCCTAAGTTCCTCCCCATTGTGACGAGCCTTACGCTGGCCAATTGAAACCACCGCCCACATCCACA